TCATAACAACCAGTACGTTCTTGGAACCTTCTTTGTATTTGGCTTGGTAACAATTTGTGCCTTGCTTTGTATAGCATCTGTACTGATTGGAACTCAACAATGTCATAAAACTTCATGGTCTTTGATTTTAAAAATAATGAGTTTGTGTGGTCCAAAAACCCAACTTTATGGATTAATCGGATAACTCTTTTTTGCAACATTACTATCGGTCTTAATTTGCATTTATAAGTGCTACCCCATATCACAGAACAATAATATAAATAGGGCAAGATCAAGGAACAATATAAAGTGTGCAAAGCTTTAATATTTAAAATATGCTTTACTTTTGCAGTTACAGAAATGCTTCTTGATATTTTAGTGATTGTATATTTAATATGAGAGTTCCAAGTAATTCTATCATCTATAATAACTCCAAGGAATTTGATTTCATGCTCCCGCTCTATAACAACACCCTCTATCTGGATTGCTTCCTGAGCATTGGTGTTACTGTTGCCAAATATCATCATTTTACAATCATTATAAACAATATAAACGTGTATTTTAATTCCCATCACTCCACAACAAATATTTTCAATGCAACTGTATTCAGAACAGGAATGAAAAATATAAGTATAAAATAAACAAATTATAGTGGCATTCATCATAAACAATGTGTGTTATAAACGGCATGCCTAAACGCAGAGCCGGCCCTAGACCTTTGGGGGCCCTAAGCAAAATTTGGTTGGAGGCCCCTTTGACCGTTTTAAGGCCTAAAGAAAAGCAATGACTACCTTATAACTATACCATACTATATAACTATATTATACTGTATATACTATGTTTGATGTCTAACAGGAAAATTATGATACCACTGAGCTGAATGGCAGTGCAAGACACACACACACACACACACTGATTAACTTGCTGAATAAAAAGACAGATAAAGTGATTATCACTGAACAAAGATACATTTTTATTGACACCAGAGTTTAAGAGTCACAAACTACAGCACACACACACACACACATATATATATATATATATATAATTTAAATTAAATAGAGCAAATAGAATAACATTTAAATATAATATTATATAAAATAATAAATAGATTTTTCAAATAAACAAAATTAACAATGACAACTAAAACACCACAAAGAAGATCAATAGTAAAAATATTAAGAATAAGGTAACATTTCAATATAACTATTAAAATCCAATCCAAATAAAGAAAATAATTATACATAAAGTTAGACTTAATTTTTAAAATGCAGAAGGTTATCATTTTACAGCCCCTTTATACTCACCAACAGCTGGAGCTTTGCTCACTGGCAGCATAGCGTTACTTTAATAGTGCTCCTAAGGGGACATAAGGAGTAAACTAATGTTAGCCCTTTAGTGTAGAATCCAAACTGGGTTTATATTGTTCTGTTAAATGCTTTAACAGTAACACCACAGCAAGTGGTATAGGCCTAATACTAAACCAATTTTATGCAGCATGTTATTAGCATGTAAGTTAAACAACTGTAGAAAATTAATACAAGCACGATTTAGGCTAATGTTAAAATAAGACTTTTAGTGCAGATTATCCATATTACAGAAATCGGAAAATTAAGCCTACAGGCTTACGTACCTTTATCTTCTTGCTTCTCTTCTTCCAGGCTCTTTTTTGTCGTTTTTCTTGGCCAGAAAGATATTTTCGTTTCTTGTCAGACATCGTCGATTCGTCGGAGTCGCTAACTGACTGACCGAGTGACAACGAGTGACATCATAGGGGCAGTCGGGATCAAGACGCGCGCGCGCACATTCGCGGGGAGCTCCCGGTTGATTTGCCATAATACAGAACTAAATAAATAACAACTCTGTGCCTATCATGATGCCTGATAAAGAGCGCTGTAGGTCCATTTTTTTTTTTTTTTTTTTTTTTTTTTACTTTCGTTGTGCGATTTTTTTTTTTTCCCCCCACTAGCTAGCAGTGACTCTAGGGGCCCTCTGCTGGCCACGGGGCCCTTTGCAATTGCAACGGTCGCTTAGTGGCTCGGCCGGCTCTGCCTAAACGAATGTGTTTAAAGTGAAACTAGTGAAATGCACTTTACAACTAAACTTGCGTTCACGTTCTTCTTTCATTCAGTATAAATACAACGTTTGCCTTTTGTGCATGTTTTATGTGCTTGACGTTATTTTATTAATCATTTTGCAATATAAGTTGCAGCACATTTCAGATGATTAAAAAAGCATGACTTATATTCCGGAAAAAATATGGTAAATGAGCATCATAATTATCAAAGTGATTTATATATATATATATACACTGAACAAAACTATAAACGCAACACTTTTGTTTTTGCCCCCATTTCTCATGAGCTTAGCTCAAAGATCTAAGACTTTTGCTATGTACACAAAAGGCCTATTTCTCTCAAATATTATTTACAAATCTGTCTAAATCAGTGTTAGTGAGCGCTTCTCCTGTGCCGGTGTGGCATATCAAGATGCTGATTAGACAGCAGGATTATTGCACAGGTGTGCCTTAGGCTGGCCACAATAAAAGCCCACTCTAAAATGTGCAGTTTTGTCACACAGCACAACGCCACCGATGTAGCGATTTCTGCCTTTAGTTGTTTCCACAAGTCGTGTTTAACAGCCTAAACGTCAGCGTTTTCCAGGTCTGGTCATGTGTGAATCGTGTTGAGCGTGTGTGGTGTGTTTGTGCAGCTGGTGAAGGAGGTGGACAACGAGGTGCGTCTGCGTCTGATGCAGTTCGTGACGGGAACCTGCAGGCTTCCATTGGGCGGCTTCGCTGAGCTCATGGGTGTGTGTCCGTGCTTCAGATAAACACACACTCAGATCCTTCAGATAAACACACACTCAGATCCTTCAGATAAACACACACTCAGATCCTTCAGATAAACACACACTCAGATCCTTCAGATAAACACACACTCAGATCCTTCAGATAAACACACACTCAGATCCTTCAGATAAACACACACACAGATCCTTCAGATAAACACACACTCAGATCCTTCAGATAAACACACACTCAGATCCTTCAGATAAACACACACTCAGATCCTTCAGATAAACACACACTCAGATCCTTCAGATAAACACACACTCAGATCCTTCAGATAAACACACACTCAGATCCTTCAGATAAACACACACTCAGATCCTTCAGATAAACACACACTCAGATCCTTCAGATAAACACACACTCAGATCCTTCAGATAAACAGACACACAGATCCTTCAGATAAACACACACACAGATCCTTCAGATAAACACACAGATCCTTCAGATAAACACACACTCAGATCCTTCAGATAAACACACACTCAGATCCTTCAGATAAACACACACACACAGATCCTTCAGATAAACACACACACAGATCCTTCAGATAAACACACACTCAGATCCTTCAGATAAACACACACTCAGATCCTTCAGATAAACACACACAGATCCTTCAGATAAACACACACTCAGAACGGCTGTAAAGGACTGTTGATTCTCATCTCTGATGCGTTAACCCTTTTCCTCCTCCAGGGAGCAACGGGCCGCAGAAGTTCTGCATCGAGAAGGTGGGCAAGGAGACGTGGCTGCCGCGGAGTCACACCTGGTGAGTGTCACGATGATGTCCTAAACCTGACGCCCGTTCTCGTCTCACGCGCTCTTCTGTTCTCAGCTTTAACCGGCTGGATCTGCCTCCCTATAAGAGCTTCGAACAGCTGAAGGAAAAGCTGCTCTTCGCCATCGAGGAGACGGAAGGGTTCGGTCAAGAGTGATGAACGTCTTTGCCCTTTACGGCGACGCATCAGCCAAGTAAAACAAAACCATGAAACTTGCACAGACGATTACCAATGTAAATAAGCTATTTTGTCATTTTAAACCAAATCTTTATCTTAAGACCTCATTTAGCGATCTTCATAACATGATTCCCCATGAATATGCAAGCGTTCGAGCTTTTCTGATCTTTTCAATGCTGATATCTATATACAACGCTTTGGTTTATTCATTTGGCGGGTTTTTAAAATGAACCTGAAAAAAAACATTAGAGAGGATTTTATAGTAGAACTCAAACTTATGGCTCTAGTTTTATAGAGCTTTTACAGAATGATTGTAGAGTTTGATCAGGTGCCTGGGGTTTTTCTCTTTTTGTGTTGTTGGACATTGAGTTTTCTTGTTAAGCGCTTGCATGGCTGCCTGCGGGGAGAGAGATGACTGGACTCCTCGACAGACAGACAGCTGTCTCACATATCATTCATCAGGATTGGCTCTGGACAGTATTGCTGTTGGCACTTTAGTATTCGTCAGAATCTCCGCACATGCTCAGAAAGGGTTCGCTCGGCAGATGAAGTCAGTTGTGCTCGAAGCACTTCATTATTTCTGTGGCCTTTGACCGTCAGGGGAGGAAAACTGTGTCCATGAATATTTCATATTAAAATATATGAGTTCAAACAAACTCGGGTGTCTCGTGTTCTTCAAGTGGGTTTTATTTTGATTTTTCCTACATTAAATACATTTGTTAATGTTTTATATTTATCATAGTTTATTTAGCTTTATTTCATTTGCACAAAGAATATACAAATATGACAGTATGAGTTAAAATTGCTCCCAAAATCCTGACAAAACATTTGGAGCATGAATTGTTCTGTGAGAAAAGCAAAGGTAAACTGAAGGATTTAAAGTTTTTACTGTTTGGATATCCTCATTCTACTTTACAATAACCAAACTGGCTAAACTGATGATGGTGCAGTGGTTAAGACACATGCCTTTGGAGTTAGGGTTAGGGTTCGAATCCACTGTGAGACACCAATGTGTCCCTGAGCAAGACACTTAACCCCTAGTTACTCCAGAGGCGTGTGACCTCTGACATAGCAATTGTAAGTCGCTTTGGATAAAAGCGTCAGCTAAATGAATAAATGTAAACTGAGCAGCCGGTCCCCGGTGTCTGCGCTCACGCCAGCTCTGGCAGAAGATCCAGCAAACATGCAGAAATACAGCAGTGGTGAATTACAGGCCGCTTTTATGTGGAATCTCGTCCCTCGTTCTGTTAATGTCAGACATGAAAGAGTCTAAAATAGTCCATAGTAAATCTCCATTTTACACAAATCAACTGAATCATTAAAAAGCTCAATTTAGGCATCTCTGGGTTCGAGAACAGCGGGACTCATCCGTTGAGTTTCTTCAGAAGCTCCAGCGCTTCCTTATGGACCTGCATTGGGTCAAACATGAACATTGCGCCTCTGATGATGATATAACAGGTAAATATGACTGATGGAGGTGTTTATGAACCTGTTTGTCGTCTTCTGTGACTGCAGGATAGTCCCGCGCTCTCGTGAGCCACAGCGCCGCCCGCTGGACGTCTCGCAGCATCGCGTACGTCTTTCCCAGCATCAGCAGGTTCTTGCTGTAGAAATTTGGGTCAACTAAATTGAAATATTAAACTGTTAAAGTTGTAATCGGTCACATGGAAAATAAATTAAAAACAAACAAGAAGGTGCTTGTGTTTATATCATACGGGACCTTCTTCAGCTTTCAGGAAAAACACCAAAGCCTGACGGAGACAAAACATTTATACTTTCACTGCCAAATGAAGTGTCTGCATAATATAGGCTACAACCAATAAAATAACATTTCCAACACTGAAAACCCCATAATTATTAATTTCACTGACATCTTCATAAGTGGCTGTCGGAGGCGACGCAAAAATAACGGCTGCAACTTTCCGCTGGTACCACGGTAATTCAGCGAACGCAAAACACCTGCGAGGAAGAGACGCCACTGTGACTGAAGGCTTCAATGTGGCCAGTGATGAGCAAATATACGTGTTTATATCAGAACACACACTCACCAGTAGCCAAGAATATGGATAGACGTCGCATCTTTAGGGTTGAGCTCGATTGCTCGCTGTAGAAATGAGCGTTAAAGAAGTTTCATTCGTTCAGTGGTGAACTATGATGCTTTAACCCAATGAACATCTTACCTCCAAATGCTCTCTAATGATGTAGGAATTTCCTATTTTGACTTTGATCCCTTCATAATCCCCAACATCACTGAGGCAAATGGCGAACCACTGCAGACGACAGACATCGAGTCAAACATCGACTCCAACACTGCAATACTCGTTTACAGAGAGAATGGTGCTTACTTTGTGAGCCGCAAAGGAAGACTGGTTTTTCTCCAGAGCTTTGCTGGCGAAGTCGAAGGCCTCGTATGTGAGCCGTTTCTTCTCCTCGGCGCTGATGCGGGACAGTAAAGCCAGATCGCGAGACGCTCGAGCCAAACGCCACAGGAACTCTGCCTCATCACTGGGACAACAACAACCCATCCGAGAGTTACCAATCCTCTGGAATATGCTCATTAATATCAAAACACTAGCTCAGCAGCTTAGACTAGTGCTCTACTACTATGACAAACTATCACTATAATACTCTATATATCATCTAACACTGCTGGTGTTTGTGTCCTTCTCTATATATCATCTAACACTGCTGTTGTTTGTGTTCTTCTCTATATATCATCTAACACTGCTGGTGTTTGTGTTCTTCTCTATATATCATCTAACACTGCTGGTGTTTGTGTTCTTCTCTATATATCATCTAACACTGCTGGTGTTTGTGTTCTTCACTATATATCATCTAACACTGCTGGTGTTTGTGTCCTTCTCTATATATCATCTAAAACTGCTGGTGTTTGTGTTCTTCTCTATATATCATCTAACACTGCTGGTGTTTGTGTTCTTCTCTATATATCATCTAACACTGCTGGTGTTTGTGTTCTTCACTATATATCATCTAACACTGCTGGTGTTTGTGTTCTTCACTATATATCATCTAACACTGCTGGTGTTTGTGTTCTTCACTATATATCATCTAACACTGCTGGTGTTTGTGTTCTTCTCTATATATCATCTAACACTGCTGGTGTTTGTGTTCTTCACTATATATCATCTAACACTGCTGGTGTTTGTGTTCTTCTCTATATATCATCTAACACTGCTGGTGTTTGTGTTCTTCTCTATATATCATCTAACACTGCTGGTGTTTGTGTTCTTCACTATATATCATCTAACACTGCTGGTGTTTGTGTCCTTCTCTATATATCATCTAAAACTGCTGGTGTTTGTGTTCTTCTCTATATATCATCTAACACTGCTGGTGTTTGTGTTCTTCTCTATATATCACCTAACACTGCTGGTGTTTGTGTTCTTCACTATATATCATCTAACACTGCTGGTGTTTGTGTTCTTCACTATATATCATCTAACACTGCTGGTGTTTGTGTCCTTCTCTATATATCATCTAACACTGCTGGTGTTTGTGTTCTTCACTATATATCATCTAACACTGCTGGTGTTTGTGTTCTTCACTATATATCATCTAACACTGCTGGTGTTTGTGTTCTTCACTATATATCATCTAACACTGCTGGTGTTTGTGTTCTTCACTATATATCATCTAACACTGCTGGTGTTTGTGTTCTTCACTATATATCATCTAAAACTGCTGGTGTTTGTGTTCTTCTCTATATATCATCTAACACTGCTGGTGTTTGTGTTCTTCTCTATATATCATCTAACACTGCTGGTGTTTGTGTTCTTCACTATATATCATCTAACACTGCTGGTGTTTGTGTTCTTCTCTATATATCATCTAACACTGCTGGTGTTTGTGTTCTTCTCTATATATCATCTAACACTGCTGGTGTTTGTGTTCTTCACTATATATCATCTAACACTGCTGGTGTTTGTGTCCTTCTCTATATATCATCTAACACTGCTGGTGTTTGTGTTCTTCAATATATATCATCTAACACTGCTGGTGTTTGTGTTCTTCACTATATATCATCTAACACTGCTGGTGTTTGTGTTCTTCACTATATATCATCTAACACTGCTGGTGTTTGTGTTCTTCACTATATATCATCTAACACTGCTGGTGTTTGTGTCCTTCTCTATATATCATCTAAAACTGCTGGTGTTTGTGTTCTTCACTATATATCATCTAACACTGCTGGTGTTTGTGTTCTTCACTATATATCATCTAACACTGCTGGTGTTTGTGTCCTTCTCTATATATCATCTAACACTGCTGGTGTTTGTGTTCTTCTCTATATATCATCTAACACTGCTGGTGTTAGTGTTCTTCACTATATATCATCTAACACTGCTGGTGTTTGTGTTCTTCACTATATATCATCTAACACTGCTGGTGTTAGTGTTCTTCACTATATATCATCTAACACTGCTGGTGTTTGTGTTCTTCTCTATATATCATCTAACACTGCTGGTGTTTGTGTTCTTCTCTATATATCATCTAACACTGCTGGTGTTAGTGTTCTTCACTATATATCATCTAACACTGCTGGTGTTTGTGTTCTTCACTATATATCATCTAACACTGCTGGTGTTTGTGTCCTTCTCTATATATCATCTAACACTGCTGGTGTTTGTGTTCTTCACTATATATCATCTAACACTGCTGGTGTTTGTGTTCTTCTCTATATATCATCTAAAACTGCTGGTGTTTGTGTTCTTCTCTATATATCATCTAACACTGCTGGTGTTAGTGTTCTTCACTATATATCATCTAACACTGCTGGTGTTTGTGTTCTTCACTATATATCATCTAACACTGCTGGTGTTTGTGTTCTTCTCTATATATCATCTAAAACTGCTGGTGTTTGTGTTCTTCTCTATATATCATCTAACACTGCTGGTGTTTGTGTTCTTCACTATATATCATCTAACACTGCTGGTGTTTGTGTTCTTCTCTATATATCATCTAACACTGCTGGTGTTTGTGTTCTTCTCTATATATCATCTAACACTGCTGGTGTTAGTGTTCTTCACTATATATCATCTAACACTGCTGGTGTTTGTGTTCTTCACTATATATCATCTAACACTGCTGGTGTTTGTGTTCTTCTCTATATATCATCTAACACTGCTGGTGTTTGTGTTCTTCACTATATATCATCTAACACTGCTGGTGTTTGTGTTCATCTCTATATATCATCTAACACTGCTGGTGTTTGTGTTCTTCACTATATATCATCTAACACTGCTGGTGTTTGTGTTCTTCACTATATATCATCTAACACTGCTGGTGTTTGTGTCCTTCTCTATATATCATCTAACACTGCTGGTGTTTGTGTCCTTCTCTATATATCATCTAACACTGCTGGTGTTTGTGTCCTTCTCTATATATCATCTAACACTGCTGGTGTTTGTGTCCTTCACTATATATCATCTAACACTGCTGGTGTTAGTGTTCTTCTCTATATATCATCTAACACTGCTGGTGTTTGTGTTCTTCACTATATCTCATCTAACACTGCTGGTGTTTGTGTTCTTCACTATATATCATCTAACACTGCTGGTGTTTGTGTTCTTCACTATATATCATCTAACACTGCTGGTGTTTGTGTCCTTCTCTATATATCATCTAACACTGCTGGTGTTTGTGTCCTTCACTATATATCATCTAACACTGCTGGTGTTTGTGTTCTTCTCTATATATCATCTAACACTGCTGGTGTTTGTGTCCTTCACTATATATCATCTAACACTGCTGGTGTTTGTGTTCTTCTCTATATATCATCTAACACTGCTGGTGTTTGTGTTCTTCTCTATATATCATCTAACACTGCTGGTGTTTGTGTCCTTCACTATATATCATCTAACACTGCTGGTGTTTGTGTTCTTCACTATATATCATCTAACACTGCTGGTGTTTGTGTTCTTCTCTATATATCATCTAACACTGCTGGTGTTAGTGTTCTTCACTATATATCATCTAACACTGCTGGTGTTTGTGTTCTTCTCTATTATCATCTAACACTGCTGGTGTTTGTGTTCTTCTCTATATATCATCTAACACTGCTGGTGTTTGTGTTCTTCTCTATATATCATCTAACACTGCTGGTGTTTGTGTTCTTCTCTATATATCATCTAACACTGCTGGTGTTTGTGTTCTTCTCTATTATCATCTAACACTGCTGGTGTTTGTGTTCTTCTCTATATCTCATCTAACACTGCTGGTGTTTGTGTTCTTCACTATATATCATCTAACACTGCTGGTGTTTGTGTTCTTCTCTATATATCATCTAACACTGCTGGTGTTTGTGTTCTTCACTATATATCATCTAACACTGCTGGTGTTTGTGTTCTTCACTATATATCATCTAACACTGCTGGTGTTAGTGTCCTTCTCTATATATCATCTAACACTGCTGGTGTTTGTGTCCTTCTCTATATATCATCTAACACTGCTGGTGTTTGTGTCCTTCTCTATATATCATCTAACACTGCTGGTGTTTGTGTTCTTCACTATATATCATCTAACACTGCTGGTGTTTGTGTTCTTCTCTATATATCATCTAACACTGCTGGTGTTTGTGTCCTTCTCTATATATCATCTAACACTGCTGGTGTTTGTGTCCTTCTCTATATATCATCTAACACTGCTGGTGTTTGTGTCCTTCTCTATATATCATCTAACACTGCTGGTGTTTGTGTTCTTCACTATATATCATCTAACACTGCTGGTGTTTGTGTTCTTCACTATATATCATCTAACACTGCTGGTGTTAGTGTCCTTCTCTATATATCATCTAACACTGCTGGTGTTTGTGTCCTTCTCTATATATCATCTAACACTGCTGGTGTTTGTGTCCTTCTCTATATATCATCTAACACTGCTGGTGTTTGTGTTCTTCTCTATATATCATCTAACACTGCTGGTGTTTGTGTCCTTCTCTATATATCATCTAACACTGCTGGTGTTTGTGTTCTTCACTATATATATCATCTAACACTGCTGGTGTTTGTGTTCTTCACTATATATCATCTAACACTGCTGGTGTTTGTGTTCTTCACTATATATCATCTAACACTGCTGGTGTTTGTGTTCTTCACTATATATCATCTAACACTGCTGGTGTTTGTGTTCTTCACTATATATCATCTAACACTGCTGGTGTTTGTGTCCTTCTCTATATATCATCTAACACTGCTGGTGTTTGTGTCCTTCTCTATATATCATCTAACACTGCTGGTGTTTGTGTCCTTCTCTATATATCATCTAACACTGCTGGTGTTTGTGTCCTTCTCTATATATCATCTAACACTGCTGGTGTTTGTGTCCTTCTCTATATATCATCTAACACTGCTGGTGTTTGTGTCCTTCTCTATATATCATCTAACACTGCTGGTGTTTGTGTTCTTCTCTATATATCATCTAACACTGCTGGTGTTTGTGTTCTTCACTATATATCATCTAACACTGCTGGTGTTTGTGTTCTTCTC